AGCATTTCTCACTTTCCGACAAGTGCAAGAATCTTATAGCCAAAAAAAAAAAAAAAAAAAAAAAAAAAAAAACAAAACCCCCCCCAAAAAAAAAAAAAAAAAACCATGCCAGGGATGTGTGTGTGTGCGTGTGTGTGTGTGTAAGTCCAAAATCCTGAGAGAAGCGAAGGGATATGGCATGGCCATCTCCCATGGGGGGGGCGGGGCACTCTCTGGCAAGTACACATGCCTTCTAGCCATAAAAGAAGGATCTCCTCTCTGGGGTGTTGGGCCACATGCCAGGTCCACGGGAGGCTGAGTAAGGCATTGGATCTACTCAACAGAGAGGAAGTGAGAGCACAGGTGGTTGGAACAGAGCAGAGGAGTGAATGTGTGGAGGACAGAGAGGTGGAGAGGAGGACAGAAAAGAAGGTGGATAGATAGCGGATGGATCCAGGGAAGGACGGGTAGAGGTGGGAGTGGACGGGAACTAGATGGATGGGTATGGAGCTGAGGGCAGGGAGGTGAATGGGAAGAGCAACAGCAGGTGGACAGGTGGGGATGGGTAAATGAGTAAGTGGAGAGGCAGGTGGGTGGGTGAATGGAAGGACTAGGAGAAGGGTGGGTAGATGGGTGGACAGATTGGTGGCAAGGCTGTTGGGTGGCCACGTACATGTGGATAACATGGATGTGGGTGAATCGAAGGCTGGATGGGCGAAGATAAATGAGTGAGGGAGTGAAGATAACCTGGGTACTCACCTGAGGCCTCCTCCTCTTCTACCCGGAGAGAGTATGGCTTCCATTCAGACTTCACCACCAGCTTGAGGACGTTGCGGGCAGCTGTCAGCCAGAAGTCCTCTGCTCCCAGGGGATACCCTGCTCAGCCCCTAGGCTTGAGGCCTGTTCTGGTTCCGGAACCTGATCATGACCTGCCCCATTTTGGATCCGGAACCTGACTACCTTTTCTAACTCTAGAACCCGGGTCAGAACCTGGCTCCTGTTTCAGCTGTAGAACCAGACCCAGAATGTAACCTGACTTGGCTCAGATTTGGCCTTCAGAATCTGTCCTCCTGGACTTGTCTCATTTCTTTCTTCTGTTCCTGATCTACCTTGGATAATTACTCTAGCCTGAGAACCAGATTTTTACCCAAAACCTACTTCAGATTTAGAACATAATTTAAACATAGCATCTAACTTGAATACAAATTCTGATCTGAATTTAGAACATATTCCAGAATTAGAACCAATTCTGTCTTAGAAACCAAAGCCTACAGCCTTTTTTTTTTTTTTGGAATCTAATCCAGCCTAAGAACTTGACATAGGCCTGGAACCAATTCTGGATTCCAAACTCAACCAAGCGGCTAATGTTTAGGATCTGCTCTAGAATGTAAGTGAAGCTACCTATGCTTTTCTGGAGGTTGAGGTTGACTAAGACACCTCTCATATATTCATCCACCCATCTGTTCATTCACACATCTTCTTATCCACACCCATCTGACCATCCAACACCCATTCCCACCAACTTGTCCATCCACCTACCCATGCATCTACTCATCCATCCATTTACCCATCCACCTACTTGCCCACCCACCCATTTGTCCACCCATTGTCCTAAGGGAAGGATGAGGACTGGGGACAGAGAAGGCAAGCTGCTGCAGCACATGGGGGTACAAGGAGAGGCCTGTTGTTCTCCCAAACAAGCTAAAGCTTTAACCCTGGGTCTGTAGCCTAAGGGATCCAGGCATGGGCTGAGGGTGACCTTACCTATGAAAGCTTTTTTGTCATCCTCAGCTCCCAGGCGGTAGCAGCGTGGGAAGAAGGAGTCGGCATCAGCCTCATCAAACCACGGCAAGTTCCGGAGATTGAGACATAGACCCACCTATGGAGTTAGCTGCTGAGGGGGCAGGGTAGGACATGCCCAGAGAGCTCCAAGGGATGTCCCCACACTCAGCTCTGGAAGACCCTGCCTGGATGTTCTCGGAGATCTGTGCCACTTGCTAGGCCTGTCATGTTCATAACTATCTCCATATGCCCACCCTCTGCCAAAAATTCCCCTCATCCTTCCTTTCACTTTTTTTTTCTTTTTTTGCCACAGGGCATGTGTGCTTGCTAGAGAGACAGTGAGAAAGAAAGTAACAAATCGCCCCCTAGGACGGATGGCCACACAGCAATCCTTCTCCAGTCTCCTCCCAGGATTTTGCAGCATGATTTTTAAGTCACTGGGTCTGGGATTCGAACTGTGGTTGGCCAAGTGGAAGTCCAGCACCTTAACCACTATGCCACCTGCTGGTCCCTCCTTTCACATTCTTAAAGACCTGTCTCCTCTGAGAATTCTTCCTAGTTCATTACCAGTAATATTATGGCAGGTTACAATTATAAAGCCCTTTGTCCTTGATGTACTCAAAAAATAGGCCTTATTGGTGGTTCTATGTTTTTTGTTTTGTTTTGTTTTAAGAGAGATTTTTGCTATAAGGCACATGCGCTCATCAGAGACAAAGAGGAACAGAGAGACAGAAAGCGAGAAATGATGCCCAAGGGGGTTGGCCACGTCACAATCCCTTCTCCTCCATTCTCCTCTCAGGATTTTGGGCACACATGCACAAATGCCTGGTCTTGAGTTTCAAGCCACTGGGCCCGAGGATTGAACCACAGTTGACTACGTGGGAGTCCAGTGGCGTAACCATTATGCATCTGCCGGTCCTCTCTCTTTTTTTTTTTTTTTAAGAATTATTTAATTTTATTTATTTATTCATTTATTTCAGTTTGACCAGAGAGAGACACAGAAAGAGAGAGAGAGAGAGAGAGAGAGAGAGAGAGAGGAAGAAGGAAAGTGAGAAAGCTAGCCACCAGGTCCGGGACTTGAACTGTGGTCAATCATATGGGAGTGTCCAGTAACCACCATATCACCTGCTGGTTTCCCCCTCCATTTTTTCTTTTTTTTTTTTAATTTCCAGAAGGAATGGGCTTTTCACCAGAAAGACAGAGAGACAGGGAAAGCGGGAAAGGGAAAGCCCCCCCCCCCCCCAATGGGATGTGGTCATGCTACAATCTCTTCTCAATTTCTCCATCCTGCTGGCATTTGGGGCATGTAAACCCATGCACCCAGCATGTTAACAGAGATTTTTGCTATAGGGAGCATGCATTCACTGGGAGAGGCAAAAAGCAAGAAATCACTCCCTGCAGGGATGACCATGCCACAGTCCCTTCTCCTCCACTGTCCTCTTGGGATTTTAGGCATGCATGCACACATGCCTGCTGTGAGTTTTAAGCCTTTAGGTCCACGAACTGTGGTCAACTACGTCAGAGTTCAGTGACATAACCATTTCACTATCTACTGGTCCCTCCAGCATGTTTTTCAAGCTACCAGGGCCAGGATTTTAACCACAGCCAGCCATGGGGATCTAGCTCCCTTAACCACGAGGCTACGGGCTTGCCTGGTATCCTCATGTAAAGATGGGGAAACTGAGGCTCAGAGAAGCCAGTTGCCAAGAAACCTAGGTGAAACAGAGGTGGGTCCATCAGCCCCTCACCACTCGGCTGAAAAGAGAAAGCCCTCTTGCTCCAGTCACTGGATTTGGTGTTTGCTCTGCCTCAGATCCCATGTGAGTCCTGGAGCCTATTTTAGTCATTTTATCTACAAGTGTCAAATTCTGTTTAGGGGCTGGACTTGAAGCCAGGCCTGTCAGACTCCAAATCCCACCGAATGGTACGCCTCCCCCTCTTGCTCTGCGAACTCTCTCACTGATGAGAGCAGGGCGGAGGGCTGCCAGACCCGGGGCTGGGGGTTGGAAGCTGCCCTGCCCTCTGCCCTGGGAAGCACACCTTGGTGGTAAAGGAGCCAGCCCGAGCGTAGTGGTTTATCATCTGATCCTTCGCGAGGAAGCGGCAGTCCAGCACATCCCGCCGAGTGGTCCAGATGAAGTAGGGGAGCTCGTTCCGGACCATACGGGACTGCGGAGAGTGGGAGGAGAGTGGGGGAGGCTGGTGTAGGCAGCCCGGCCTAGGGCAGCTTCTCCCAGCCCTGCTGAGCAGGTCGGTGAACCGGAGAGGATGCTTCAAGGTGGCCTCTAGCCCACGTGCCATCTTAGCATAGGGCAAAGATCCCTTCCTCCCAGGCACATGCTGGGTGAGCAGACAGCAGGCTGGCACTGGCTGGGTGTCCCTAAGCAGTGACTAGGCTTTACAACTGAATGCCACGCCTGTGTGGTCATTGGCGACTGGCCCAGAGGCAGGACAGTGACTCCAAGCTGATGGGCACACACACGTGACAAAGGCTCTCATAGGTTCTACCTCTCTCCATCCTTCCTACCACTCTGGGAGCAATCATTAATAACCAATCACAGGGGCCGGCATGTGGCGTGATGGTTAAGGGCACTGGACTCCCACATGGCTGACCATGGTTGAGTCCTGGACCTGATGGCTTGCTTTCTCATTTTCCCTTTCTCTCTCCCTCTGTATCTCTCTGTTGAAATTTAAAAAAAAATAATAAAGTGGATAATTATTTTTTTTAAAAAATCACAGTGCCAGGCCTTATTTAATCCTCACCACAACCCTAAGAGACAGGGAGGGGACTGAGGCACAGGGGAGGTAACTGACATGCTCAAGGCCTCATGAGGTTGAGCCAGAGCAAACTGCCCATACGCGGCCTGTCCTGACACAGACCCAATGTCATCACCTCAGCATGCACATCACCACACCATCGTACCAGCCTCTTTCAGAGCTTTTGAAGTCCGTCCTGCCCATCTTCATGTGCCAAGGGCAGAGCACGGGGATGAATATGGAGTCTGTCTTTGGGAAGGGAGTCACCATGCATAGAAGCTGTGCTGGCTTCCGACACAACTGAGTTTAGAATCCCAGGCCAGCCTTGTCCGAGCCCCTCACTGCTGGCCTACCCAGCCTTTAGAGAAGCAATCCGTTTTCACTACAGAGGTGGAAATTGAACCCAGAGATGGAAAGGCCTTGTCTGAGGTGCCCTGGCTGGATGTCGGTGCTTTCCTTGCTCCGCCGGCCCCCGTTTCACCATGGCTCCCAGGGCTCTCACCATCAGAGCGTGTGTTCCATCTAAGTCATCAAATTCCAGTAAACCGTCGAAGTCGAAGAGCTGTGGTGGCCGGAACTCTTCATCCTCATCGTCGTCCTCTGCGGACACAGAGCCCAGGCCTGAGAAGGCCTCGTCCCTGCCCCAGAGACTCATAAAGCCTCAACCTGGGGACAGTGGGAGCCAAAGGAAAGGGACTCGGGAGCAGCAGCTTGTGGGAAGGGAGAGGAGTGCTCACCATCCTCAGTGGTGTCGCTGTCACCCACCACTGAGCTATCTAGATCTTTCTGGGGTGGCGGCAGGGTGGTGGCAGCGTGGTGGACCATCTTCTTCTCCACCCAGCCCCTCCTGCGCAAGAGATACCGGATCACAGGGTAGTGGCCTTGAATCATAAAGATCTTCCTCTGCTGCAAGGTGAGAGACAGACGCCTATTCAATAAGCACTGCCTTTGGCAGGGTATAACAGTCAATGGGCAGCTCTGGCCTCTCCCTTCGGGAATGTTTTTTTTTTTTTTTTTTTTGGGG